GGTTTTAATGCCTTTGCTACACACTTGACCATTTCTTATCTTAGAAAGAAGACTGACTTGAAGGTCAAAAGTAATTTATTTCCTCCACCCACCCCTAACTTTATCATTAAGGTGTGTTTTTGTCTCTAAATTGTATGAATTGTACTTTTTCCACAGGTATGCTTTTAGATTTACTTTTTAGTGAGGCAGGACACCTCCATGAAGGGACGTGTAACACCACCTATCAGGAAGAGCTGTGTATGTGAGACTGAACAATTCCCCTCTTCCCCTCTCCCCTCCATGCCATCCCCAAACCAAGAACACATAAACCAGTGCTGGCTGCTGGCTCAGAAGCTTTGATTCATGTTTGGGACACATCAAGATTAGGACAAGTGTCAGAAAAGCAGACTATGCCATCTGATCTAGACAGAAAAGATTTTTTTTTTCCCAACGCAATAATTTCAGTCTCAAGTTTTTCACTGTCATACAACTTCATCATTAAGCAGAAGAGGTAGCTGAAGAGTTTTGAGAATATCAGAGGAACTAAGACAGGAACTGTTATGATTTTTATTTTGATTCAGCAGAAGAATGAAGGCCATTTATATATTCCAAAAGTAAGGGTTACTTTTCCCCGGCCCCGCTCCCTGTGCCACTCAGGGGCAGCAGCCCTACTGAGCCACACCCTTGACAGACCAGAATGATTCTAATTTTTTGGTAAGATGAAACAGACCACGTTGGTAAAAGGACACAAAACTATGAAGCCTGAGCAAATAGTCCACTAACAAGGTGATGGGAAAAAAACTGAAGATCTTTTTTTCCCCAACACACTAAAAGTTTCTCTATTAAGGTACTTCCTTTCCTCTGACAGGCAGGAAAACTAGTTTTGTAGATGGCCATGTTAAGCACCATAGCTTGTAACTAATTTCTATGTTAAAACATTTACAGGGAATGTGGACAACTTTTTCAACTTGAACCTTTCTTTCATGTAAATCCTTTTTTTACCTTTCCCCTGTTCTAGCTCCCCAAACACCACCACCATCAGCCCACAAGTAAAAGGGGAAAGAAAACCCAGCTATTTAATCAATTTCCCGAGCTGGCAGTAAACATGGGTAATATTTAAGGTAATCCAACGTAACCTTGTGTCCTAGTGGAGCAATGAGAAAATGCATTTACGATCATCCACTAGGTGGGGCATCCCCCAAGCTAATGCATCAAAAAGCTTCTACCTAACTGCACAGCTGTGCTTAGGAAGAAAATTTCACTTCCTGGGAAAGAAGAGCAAGATGGGTATATGCAAAATATGTAAATATGTAATAATTATGTAATAAATATGTAAATAAAGCAAATTCCTGAGTATAAAATACCTAATGCTTATTAGAAGTGACTGCTCTCAATGAAAACAATCTCACAAACAAGCTAAAAACTTTTCAGCCTGTTCTATGGAGAGCAACAAATAAGAAAGGGTGGCAGAAAACTTTTCTTCTGAGACTGAATTGGCTGTTAGGAATTTTATTAAATAATTAAGAGGTCTTTTTTCCTTAATTTCTGAAAAAAACCCAAACAAAACCACTACCACTAAAAGAAACAAAACCAAAATCCAACAAAATACTCCCCCTCAAGAAAACCCCTCACACCCACTTGTTTTAAATGTAGATAAGGAGGAAAGCTGTTTAAATTATGAGCATTTTTCATTACAGGGTAATAATTTAATAGCTGATAAATAGCATGACTGTCAGAGGAGAGGTCCAAAAGAAAAACCAAACAAACCCAAAGCAATCTCTTCAAAATTGCTAAGGAGGTTCAGGAGTTAAAGACTAAATGTCACTTGTTACAAAAACATACAGACCATGCCAGCAAGACTGCACCACAGTGTCAGCTTCAGAAAGGATGGGAGAAAAGGGGAGAAGTCACATTAAGAAACCAGCTCTCCAGATTTGATCCTAGAGAACGCATATCCTCTTAGCCCAAAGCCAGCAAACACAACAAGAACTGTAGGTAAATCATTATGGTATGCTTTACACACACACACGCACACAAAAAAAAAAGTTTGAAGATAGTAATTATTTGAGGTAATAGAAGTCCTTTCAGCAACATGCTGAAACAAGGGAACTCATGTTCCAGAGAAAATTTTGAAGGTCATGATCATACGAGTAGCTTCAAATCAAAATAACTTTAAATACTAGAGTGGTTTCCAAGACACAAAGGCATAAGAAGACAAAAAAATTCCAAAAAGGTAATTCAAAAGGTGAAGATACTACCTTTTTTTTAAATGATTAGGTTAAGTACTGGAAGCACTTACCAAGGGCAAGGAAAGATTCTGCCATCATGTTATAATTCTATATAATGATTGGAATATATTACAAAAGGCTTCTGCAAGTTCTACTTAAAAGTTACTTGCCTTGCTGCATGTCATTTTATAATCACTAGAGGAAGTGAAATCAGAGAATAATGATCTGCTCTAGTTTTAAAATCTGCCAATCAAAAGATCAGGAGAGGAAGTAAAAGCTCCAAGTCTACACAGAGAGCGTGACAGAGGCGTTGTTGTATTACTGCTTGACAGAGCTAAAGAACTGAACTTCTCCAGAAACTCCCATTTGCAGACAAACACTACAGGAAAAAGCTGACAAAGGAGCTTTTGAATAGTGACTGCACAAGCATGTAGCAATTATGAATAATGGCCATTTATATTCTGTACTGAGATTGCACTAAGTTCAGAATTGTAGGTCTTCCAAAGAACTGAAAAAGACAGACCATAATACAACTAATTCTTCCTGAAAAATATTTCTGACTAAATGATAAGTTACAGAAATTGTGTAATTGGTTTTGACATTCTTACTTGACCCTTATTTTACTTTGTGTATTTTTCTCTTTTTTTACTGAGATTGCACAGATATAACTACTTCCACCCTTTCACAATTCAAGGTATTTAAGGGTTCCATAAAAGAAAGCTTCAGTGTGATATTAAGCCTCAAAGTTTTATAAAGAAATTCAAGGTAATGCTTGAGAAAATTACTACTGAGAGAAAACATTTAATATTTACCTATGTAATTTTTCTATGTAGTCACTCTAAAATGCACTATTTGTATGCAGAAGAAAGTCAGTAATATTCCTTAGTGAGAAAATTAAAGGGAAATAGGTCCATTATTTTTAATACTTTCCTTCACTACAAATGGACTAAATGCCTTTCTGCATAATTGTAATTACTGGAAGGTGTTGTATTAAAAATTAGCTTTATGTTCATTTGACACTCTGGATACCTTCATAATTAGTCTGCAGAGTGTGCTAGAAGTGCTCAGCAACTATAGACTATTCACAAAACATACAGTCCAGCTTGAAGTGGTTAACAAATACTAGAATGTGCAGTTTGTCCCTTCTAACTACAGTTAACCTTGCCTGAAAAAAACTTGGTCCCCAAAAGACTTAAAAAAATGGGGCCCAAAAAGTATCTACAGGTCATATTTTCTCACAACCAAAGTCTGCAGGTATTTTAACTCTCAAATTTTCTTTTAACTAACCTAACAAAAGAAAGTGAAAGCTTTCAAGTTCATATATGTTGTTAGGCAAACATCAGGTCATCAATTTGTATTACAAGGCACAAGCAAGGCTTTGTTACCTAGTCCCTGCATTTTACTGGTTCTGGCTTCTGGGGACCTCTATTTGTATCACCCAGTTTGAACTGAGAAACACTACTCGGGAAATTACCCTAATCTTAGTTTATAGTTGCAGGCTTCTTGCTTGTAACCGTTCATGCCAACTGTTTATTTCCATTAATTTGTCTAAGTGTTAGCCACATGCAGCTTTTTTGCACCTATGTTTTGCAGCAAGAATTTCCATATTTTACAGCATAAAAAGGGAGTATTTTGTTTGAATCCACCTATGTACATCTCATTGTTGCCACCCACTTCATTTCTGAGAGCTGACACTCACTCCATGGCTGCTGCCACAGCACACCTCACAGATTTCTAGCAGAGCTTCTCCCTCAGGGCGTTTTCTTCCAGCTAAAGAATATTACATGAAGTAACTGTTTCTTTTACGAATGCTGCTTCACCGTCTGCTCCTGGAAATTTATGTTATTGCTAATTTTGTCAGGTTGGTCACTAGTCTATTCTGACACTCTTAATTGAGTCAAATTTTTGATAATTCTCCATAAAGAAGACTTGCAATGTATGAAGCTATTGAAAGTCCTACAAGATTAAAACATGTTCAAAAAAAATAACACAGTTTTTTGGCTGTAGCTTTCTTTGAAAAACTCTTTTGTATTTTATTCATTTGCAAACATTGCAGACTTCGGGTAGCATTTCTGTGTTTTGAGAGATTTGAAAAATATCAGGTTTTCATTCTTTTGTAAGTTTTTTTCATACTTTTTGACTAACCTCAGGGGTTTCTTTTCAGGTCTTCTTTGACAGAAGATTTTTTTTTTAAAATAAATCATAAGGTACCTTTACAACAGTCTCTGTGCACCTGTGAACATTATTTTAACAGCTACAGATCTGGCTTTCCATATGGCTCTGTTGATTGTTGTCCATAGAGCAATTTACCAGCATCTATAGTAGTAATTACTTTGTAAAGGAATACTGTCAATTCAAAGCTATACCCAGAAATGAAGAAAAAAAATACAAATTTTTCAAATGGACCTCAATACAGTTTCAAAAAGCTGCTGCTATTTTAACTACTGTACTAAAGACAGATCTATCTTAAGCCATTGACTGTTATCTCAGTAAAGATTCATTTTCTTCTTGGAAGTCACATGAAGATGAACATGCCCAGAATCTTGAGCAAATTTAAACCATGCTATTTGCAGGAAATTACTCATGTATTTGCAGAGTGAAGAAACAAATTAAGAACAGGTTTCTTACACTTCCATCCCACTTTTAGGCTCCCTTAATCACAAAGATCAGGCACTCCAGCACGGATGAGTAGGACACCAATTGACTCTTCTCCTGCATGACTGAGTAAGTATAATTATGACAGGTAAGGAAGAATGCCGAGAAAAAAAAATCTGCTGAAGACCTCAGAGGTTTAGATAGCAGAAGTTACTCACATTTATCTTTAAAGCTTCTTGAACAATGCTTTTTTTTTAAAAACTCCCTTTGAAACAGAGTTTCATGTGTCACAGCTCTCCTTATGATTTATCAGCCATTAACCTCCTTACTTTTAAGTTACTTGCCATAGGTAATTAATTTATCACTTAATTAAGGTAACACAACTTATTCCCTGTAGGCATAGAAACAAGGAAGCCTGAGAAACAGTTATATGCATGCTGAGCAGACTGGCTCCGTCTTCCCTCAACTGTGTACAATTTTTTTTTTTTTTTTATAGCAAATACAATATTAGTCATAGTACTGAAGTATGTTATTAAAAAAAACCCCTACTCTTAAACATTAAGAGACTGTGCCTACTGGTAAAGTCTGTCACTCTGAGTAATGCATTCACATCATTCTATATTGAGGGATACTTATTACAGATTTTGGACGTAAAAACCTGAATTGCAGCACTTTCATGTAAGAACACTATGGGCCAATACACTAGAATAGCATTCCAGTTCTTTTACCATTACATGAATCAATGAATGATATCCAGACTCTGACACATAAAATATTCAGTACTGTACAATAACCAATTAACTCTTCCTTAACAAAATAATCTATGTAGATTTCTATTTTTTTCCCTATCAGGATCATATATAAGATGAACAGCAAAATGTAAAAAGCTGGTCAGACACTTCTGTATTTACCTCTCTGCATAATATCTTCAAATCACCAATTTTCACAGAACAGCTGGAGGTGACAGAAGCAGCCAAGGTAGGTAGCTCTCTCATTGTATATTACAGGAACATAAACATTTGGTGAGGGAGGGTTGGGGGCTGATTTCAGACTGGTTATGCTTTCAGTTTGATTGTTTCACAGGGGAATGTTTTCTGCCTAAGTAAACCTTGCTCCTTCTCTACTTAAGCATAGAAGCAGTATTACAGTCAAGAGAAAGAAGAAATTTGGTTGGGGTTTTTGGTTGTTTTGTGGGGCTTTTTTTGCTTTAGGGTATTTGTTTGTTTGTTTGGGAATTTTTGTTTGTTTGTTGGCTTGTGGTTTTGATGGTTTTGTTTGGGTGGGTTTTTTCCCTGTTTTTGTTTGTTTTAATTTTAAACTTGGTGAAAGGGCTGAAAAGTTCAAGAATCCTGGAACATGCCATATACAAAGAGATTAATTCACAACATGTTGCAAGGTTATTTAAGAAAACTTAAAAGTCACACTAAATACATTTCCCAAGAGACACTATCCTCAGCTTCAAAAGCATGTTCACAGTTATTCTGCTAAGGTTTCCTGAAATGCTGTAACTAAGGACAGTGACATGTGAGTGACAACCATTTTGTCACAATCCTGAAGGCTCTGTTGACTAAATCTCAACAACCTAATCCTCTACAACCATCTAATTCACAGGGGAAACTGAACTAGTCTTGAAACTATCTGGAGATTAAGAAGGCCTCTACCTTCTTAATCTATCTACTTCTAAGTCAATCATTTCCTGAACCTTTCAGAAACATTGGTATTTTATAAATGTTCTCATATGCTGGTGAAATGACTTTATTTTCAGTTTGTGCAAATGGTAAAAATTAATTGCCATTGTTTCAGGGAGTATAAATTATCCCGATCCAGAGTAGCAATGATCTTTCAGTGACCTGAATATCCACAAAAAACAAACATAAAATTAATGAAAGAGGAGTCTTTTGATAAAAATTAATGATAAGGCATAATTCCATGGTGCTGTTAAGGGTTTGGGATTATATTTCAACAGCATTGTTAACCATTCTAAGGAGTAAATGATGGAAATAAGTGGAAAGGAGCAGAGAAAACTAAGCTCTGCAACTAAGACCAGTATGATGATGGATCCATCAAAGAAATGAGTTTGGGCAGCACCAGAAACTGACAGATGATACGAGGACTAAAGAAGACAGCTTCATCAATAGCTGAGAAAGTATCAGCACCAATGAGTTTACATGGAAGAGGTTGGAGATGAACAACTAATCCAAAACATCTGTGCATCTTTAGCATTAAGAAGCCCAGAGATTTATGGCACTGTGCATGTGTAACAGGAGAAAACAACCTCTTCTCTTTGCCATAGTTTTTTGCCCATGATGGAAGTTATCCACAAATTTATCCAACAAAACCCTTCAGGCTTCAAAAAAAGTAAATTCTAACAACAAAACCCATCTGTTTTAAGAGAGAACACAAAGGTCTGTCTTCACTCTCAATCTTTTCCACACAAAAATTCTTAAATAAGATAATTTAAAAATTCTTTTATACATCAGGGCAGAATCTTCAGAAATCTTAGGGGAAAAATTATATATCTTAACTTTAATAATGCCAAGACCAATATGACAACTTTGCAACTCCAACTTCAGGACTAAGCAACAAGCTGTAGGTTTTTGAGGTAATCAAATTAGAAACTTTAAGATAGCCTATGCATTAAAAGGAAAAAAAAAAACCAAAACGACTGACGTAAAAAAATTCCATTGGCCTCATTCTTCCTTTTGTTAACTTTGTGTAAAGCATCTAAAGGGTGTTTGCTCAGTCCTAAGTTCCTGAAAGGGACCTCAACTGGGATGGTGATGTAAAAGCAAGAACAGGAAGATTCCATTTTCTCTTCTATAGCACAGTAGAGGCAGACGTAACAAATGAAAGTAATTTATTTTTGTCACTGAAGGAAAAGACAGGTTTAAATAATGCTCAGGAGATCGAATGGCTTAGACTACAGGAAGAGATAAGTTACCATTTGCTGATGACAAGCCTTACTGCTGTTAGATAGAATTAGTCTCAAGGGGAGGCTACACGAAACTAAGGGAAACAGAATTGAAGAAAAAAGGCACTAGGTGGTTCAAAAGACTTGCTTCCCCCATCAGATAAACACAAAACCAAAAACCCATCTATGAGAACATATGAAAGTTTTCTTTTTTCATCCTGCATTGAGAGCAAAAGGCAAATAGAACAATAGAGATAATATCACAGTATTCCAAGCTATTGCTTTAAAAGACTAGCAAAGTCACAAAGACAAGACTTCCTTTATACTGTCTGCTGTTTGGATTTGGGAGAAAGATGAAGGCTTTCACATTTAGAGAAGGACCAACAGCTGAGACATGAGCACTCAGTCAGTAATGATCAGGTACTGAAAAATACTGCAGCATGAAACTGTCTGCTGAGTTTTCTTCAGTAGGCCTGACATATATATATACACACACATACATACACACCCTGAACCTTTCTTTATCTATTCTGCAGAACACAATGTTTCATTTGAAACTTCAACCCGTACATTTATATGTACATAAAATATTCACATGTATACCGCATTTATCACTCCAACTGCCTTGTCAAATTTCATAGGAAAAAGCTATATGAATCTTAATAATTTAGTATTCAAAACCAATGTAATAACATTTTATTTTGTATCTTTTCTATTTGCAGCATTTCTACCACTTCATGTACATTTGTTTCTTTTCAAGGTTGGTGAAATACTTGGACTTATTTTAAAATTTAATATAAATCAACTACAGCCCACTGCAAGTTGACAGTCATGACATTCTAACAAAGATAGTGACAGCATTCAGCCTCTTCCAGCTGTGATTCTCTCACAGGTGAGGTATCAGCACACCCCACTCCTGTCTTGATAGACAAAAGCAAGAACAAGCTCTAGATGAGAAAAAGAGTCAATGTGAACTTCACTTTCTTCCCCATCACTAACCCATCCTTCTCTTCAAGGTAGTACTTAACTCTGTATCACTTTTTCAGTTCTTTTAATTTCCGAAGGTTTTCATCCTGCTGCACACTCTGAGGCTTCTAAACTACTGCATCTTATCACCTCCAAATACTGAAATAAGTTATTAACAGAAGTATTATCCAATCTTCCTTAGATTAAAAAAAAATAGACAAGAGTGAAAATTCACTGATTTCTATTACAAAGATTCATTAGAACAAGCAAAACTGAATAGCCACATTATTAAACGATTATAAATGCAAGCTCACACATGGTGGACATCAGTCCTTCATCTCACTGAAAGCTCATATCTTAGAAATGTGGTGTTCCACATCAATGAACCTCTGTGTGAGACTCAATGGCAGTTTTGTGATGCAGACAAATAGCTATTTGAAACTGGTTTGAGACAGCCAATGTTTTTAACCTGAGGCAATCTTGTATTGTAGTGATAGAAGTAAGGCTATTAACGAACTCAACAATATTTAACTATTCATGTTGAGCCTCCCATTGGTCAAATTTCACAAGTCTAACACTGTACTGCTCAGGGCAAGAAAATGAAATAGGAACCATTTTCATCAGGAAAAAGGCTGAAGTTCTTCCTATTTAGAAGGCAAAATCAGGGCAAATTTTAGAAGAAGTCTCAATTATGTATTTTTGCATCTCAGCCTCTTCCGGTCTTTGAAGAACAGAAAAATTCACATTCTTTGTTGTTCTCTACAGTATGATGAGTAGAAAATGATAAAATTAGACACTAGTATTTATAATCCAGATGTCTCTAATGGGCTTCTAGCTCAAGATTCAGTGAGAACAAAGACATGGTCAATACTTTCAATAGTAAATTAAGGCACAAATTCCAGCTTAGAGGAAAAGGAGAAACTGAGGTATTTCCATCAATGTAGGCAAGTGACAGCTTCAGTCATCTGAAAACTTACAGAGCACAGTTATATCACATGCCTGCATCTGCATTAAGAAAAGAAGTGCAAATGATACTAAGTGTACTGTACAGAAATTCACCTTTTTTAGCAGTTACAGTATGGATCATAACTCTAAAGTGTAACTCCTATTCTCTCTCTCCTTTCAGCATCAGTTCTTAACAGTACATTTACTAGAGCACAATGGTAATGGAAGTCTGTAAGGAGATAGCACAGTCAGAGGAAAAAAATAACATGAACAGATAGACAGGAGATTCTCAGTTTTAATTCAGTACTGTCCTAGAGCCCAGCAGTACCTGCTTGGCTGCCTTTCTGTCCTTGTACGGCAACTACGCAAACACCTGGAAGCGGAGAACATTCCAGAACTGCCCTACTCAATAGCACTCCAACTACTTAGCAACACAGTGATTTCAAGGTCTCTTCAGTTGCTCAGAAACTGCAATCCTTCCTCCAAGCCCAGAGGATGGAACTGTGGCAGCACTAAAGTCACCATGGAAAGTTCAGCTGCACTTCACTGTCAGTACCACAAGCCCCTTTCACAGTTAATTCCTTCTGAACCATGTTTCTCTCTAAAAAGTCTATTTTACAGCTGATCCTGAAACTGAAGGGCTAATTTTCACCTTCCAGCTTTCAGCAGTAACTGAAGCTGGTGCTATTATTCCTACTTAACAAAAGGAGAGCAGGTCAAGAAAGAAGGCACAAGTCTAAAACCAACCACATGAAATCAATTCATTTTCAGTCTTGTGCATTGTCATTTGGACAAAGCTTTAGATCTCTAGTTATTTGAAATTCCAACTAGAAACTGACATCTTTAATAGTGTTGTTTCAGACACCAGGACAGTAACGCATTTCAATTTGTTTCCTGTGTCTATTACCCTTGTGTGCTTGTGAGTGCCAGCTAAGTTTAGCAACTAATTAGGCTGGAGTCACAATACCATTAGAGGTCTGGATCAGTAATTCACCAAGCAGGAAACAAAACATCTCTTGTTGAAATAACTGTAGCTTTAATTGAAGGATTTTTAGAAGAAGAGTTCAAGGGGAAGAAGTCATCCAGTAGCCATACAGATCTCATTGTGTGCATCCATTTTAGAAGCCACAAAATAGGTTGCACTCAAATCAAGCCAAACCTCTGGCTGACATAACTATTTTAAAGGAGCCAAGCTTTGACACTAGAGTAATAGCTATCAAAGATCATCCTGAAGATAATTAGTAGTTCCAAAACCAATTTTTTTCTTTTTATATTGAAATCAGATTGTTTCAATACAAACATTACTTGCCATTGTTCTAAACAAAGCAGACCAAGCAGCTGAAAAACTCCAACAAAGAAGAACCAAGTCAGGTCATCACCAAGGAAGGAGCAAGGACTTAATTCAAGACACTTGACACCCCTGTATAAAGGGCAGCTTATTGTAATCAAAGAACTTCATAACACTGAGAAAACACAACAGGCCAGGAGATGTATACAAAGCACTACTATTCTGCTACTGCAATAGCAAAAGGTTATAATAGGGGTAGAAAAAAGTCTCAATACTTTTGGAAAAGAGAAGAACTTGAAGTATCAACACCGAGAAGGAAATGGTCAACTTGGAAAGATTACAGTATTATAAAACCCTTGAAACAAGTACATAAGCATTAACCTACTGGAGGTCTTGGAATCTGCAAAAGTAAAAACAAGCAGAGATCACCATGGAATCCTTGGCAGAAGTTGGTCTGGTACCAAAGCACTTAAAAATTCAACCAAACTCTACACATGGTAAGAGGGAAAGCTTTGAAAGTTTCACAAATAGTCTGAATCCCATAAATGGCTGACCAAATGCACACAAATCCCAGAGCAAAACAATACATTTCTGCCTTAATGCAGGGGAAAGCCCTTGGTTTTCTGTCTTGTGTATTGCTCCAGGGTGGTCAGGGAAAAACAGCTGAGACAACAGGACACTGTCATAGCCCTGCTCTCCCTGCTTTGGAAGGCCTCCCAACTTGCTAGATGAAGAGACAGCAGCAACTTACAGAAATCAGTGCACTCAGCCCATGTCACAAGAGACAAGGCAGAGCATGCCAACTTCTTCACACAAATGTGTACCTTCATGTATCTTCACTGACCTTTGCAAAAGGAGTAAAAGGGTCAATGTTCAGAGCCACTCCTGGCTCAAGCAGCTTTCACTGAATGTTTGATTGTGCTGTGCTTGGGTTTGGAATTCACTGGGGTTTAACAGGCCTGTACATACTGAAAGAGAAGAGTTAAACAACAGATCTACACACAGATGTGTGTTATCCAAAAGGAATACAATGGCTTTGTCTATCAGATGGAACTAAAATTTCAGGTCACTTAGTATTACCACAGTCTTCCCAAATTCCTATTTCACCTTGTTCCATCTCTATGGTCTTTGAACCTCTTTCACTGTATCTATTTACTTTATGCAGACAAGTTCAGCAACTACTAGGCAAGGAAAAAGGGTTGGGGGAAATCAGTTGGCCAAAGGAGCAAGTAATTCCGCAAACCTTGTAAGCATTTTTGTGTCAAGTCTTGGAAACTTGTTGAGGGATGAAGAACATATTTATGTAAAATCCTTAGTACAGCTTCAGAAGCACAACAAAAAGAACGAAACAAAAACCAGTCACCTTTGGGTCTCGCTTTCCTCAACCACATCTAAATATAAAGGCTTCTACAGTCGCCAAGTTTGCAGGGAATGCAGGCCACCTCTTAACAATCCTTGTCCTCAAAGAAAGACACCCCAAAAACAATCATGGGGATGAGGAGGAGAATGAGCACAAAAATCACGAGATCTCTGCTGGCATATGTACATACATTAATAAAGCATAGCAACAACTGAATTTCTGAATTTTTGCCTCTTTAACCTTCAAAGACTTCACTATTTTAGATTCTATTCTACCACCCTTCCTGCCTTATCATTCTCATTTAACATGTGGTACTTCACACTTCCAAGGTTCACTTTTCCTCCTCCTCCTTCCCACCTCCCCCCATCAAGAAACAGAGAACTATAAGCATGACTATGAAGGCTATGACTCTGAAAAGCAAAAGATATTTGTTTCAAAATATAAAGAACCAGATTTTTTTAAATATACCTTGAATTAAATGCATTGCTAGTTAAAGCATTTGAATTATCTAAGAATACATGCCATAAAAAATATTGTATTAAGGAAACGGATATTAAGCAAGCAAATGCTCCTTTAGCAGGCAATGAGATGGTTGACTTGGGAGGCTAATGAATTAGTATAAACAATTTAAATCTAATTTAATTTAACAATGTAGAGCATTTGTGCATTGCAAAGCAACAGACAGTAATCTGTTTCTTCATTAAATCAAAGATAAAATTGCTGATTACCCTTCCCTGAATTATTTTATTGAAGAGGATAGCAAACAAATTTTATACTTAGTCATAAAAGTTCATGGCTAGTCCCCAAACAAGTCAATGTAACCAGTGAAGGGTACCAGTGAACATAATATAGGCCAGCTGTGCTTTAGTGTAACATTATTCAGCCAAAATAGATTCTCACATTTTAACAGTTAGTGAACAAATGTTTATGCCAAAAATTAATATGGCATTTTAAGTTTACTTTTTATTTTCACAAAACATATCTAAATAGCACCATTTACTACTCACAATCTTTAGAAGTTCTAAAATTATATACTGAGAATGCTGAGCATTTGGTATTGCCAGAGGTACTAAAAGTATTAACCTCTCCCTCCATTTTACAGATAAATTTATGAACTTGCCTCAAAAGTGTTACCGGTGATATCAAATTCTGGTGGAACAAAGGCACCTTCTGGATCATCTTTGAAAACAAAAAGAAACATGGCAGATTAGAAATTAGTCTTGTTTACAAAAACCACAAACCAACTTGATGATACAAGTGTAATGACACACTCCTATCTGATACAAAAGAAACATTGTACAGCAGTATTTTGGTTCACTCCAATCCACTGTACAAAGAACCTGTTATCCATGTTTATAGTGCTGGAATTAAATAAAGTGTGGTTTTCAAGCTCTCTCCAAAGAGGTATCATAACTTCCCTACTAAGAAACAAACCACATTAAACACTCACAAAGAAATACATTTAACATGTCTACCACTTCTTACCTTCAGGCATTTATGTTCGGACCCAGTTATCACCAAAGCTGGTGCGGCTCAGCTGTGGCTTAGAGGTTTGATTTGATTAACTGGACAGTTCTACTCACTATTTTCCATTACAGACCTGGGAGATAAGGGTTCAAGCAGCAAAGCCAGCCTGAACAGCTAATTGCTTCTTCATCTACAGGCCAGCTTAGAACTCTGACCTTCCTGCTTAGTTTGTTTTACTTATAATAAAAGAGTAGAGGAAGTAAAGAGCCCATTCATGCGCTGCTGAGCAGAGAACTGAGCTACTGCAGCAGCCAATTCTGAGTGAGGAGGTGGAAAGAAGAAAAGAACACGTTATGAGAGTCTGATGCTGTTTCTGTATCCAAGCAGGTACACAGTATCACACTGCACTTAGGTCACATGAACCCATAAAAAACATCAAGGAATTCAACAGGAGCACAACAAAAAAGCCTACTCTCCACATACATATCCAGCTCACCTAGTCTATCCTTCTGGGAAGTCAAGATGATTGACATGCAAAAAGGGTGTTTACTTTCTCAACAAGAAGAAAAAAATAGTACGTTCAGAGGCACAGCATAATCATCATAACTTTAGCTTTAATTCTAAATCATCATAACTTTAGCTTTTGTGCCTGTACTTAAGAGTGAAATGCAAAGTTTTTATTAAAACCAGTTTTGTAGCAGAGACTACTAGAGAGGATTTTTAAAACATATTCATACGTTGTAGCTAGGTGGTATGGATGACTAGAAACAGTAACTGATTTACAGCTCTTTAGGACATTCTCAAATGTACTTTCCTACTGAAAAAGAGGGCTATGCAACCAATTTTGCATTTCTTACCCATCACCACATTTTTTCCTGATTTTGGGGGTGGGCAGAGGATGCTGAAGGGGAGGGGAACTAACAGAGAGATGTTTTGTTCTCCCCCTCCCCCACCTGCAGACTACTTCTTTTTATCTCCCCACTACCTTTTCCCTTTCTTTCCACAGAACACTTTAAAGGCTGTACAAGTATTTAACTTATCACTGGTACAGCTCACTGTATTATTTTAATATAATGTTTACAATGGGAATGTGTGTGATCTGAAGAGACAAGAAGGTATCAGAGCCCTTGGCAGAATATCCTGTTGAATGGTTGTCACTTTAGCACCACGGAACTTGCAGGAAGCAGAACTTGCTGCTAAAGCAGAGGTGACAGCCTGCTCACTTTCTGTCATTGGAAAGCAAATCCAGAGGTTATAATTTTCTTCTGGAAGAATAAATCCATAGGCAACAACTGCAGGGAAGCAAAAAGGACAACCTCTTCAAGTGCCTCCAACACTGTTATCTTTTAACCAAAGAGTAACAGAATCTGAGAGAAAGAGCCAAAGACACAGTGAAGCCTGAGAGAAATAGAACACAGGTGTCACTTTTTCGCATTCCTATGGAAAACATATCTTTCTTTAAAGAGAACTAATGAAAAGTCTTTTCCTTAGAGACTAACACGACTTCAGGGAACTAAATCTTCGTATATTTGCTTTGCACAGGAATTTGTTATCCTACATTTTAAGTACATGAATACAGCATTCCTGGATCAATTGTTTGCCAGCTATTCAATTAGACTAGAACATTTAAGAAGGAATTGATTTTTCTCTTCCCCAGCTACAAGCAAAGATCTTAGTTGAGGGGCATTTTTCATCCACTAGACTTATGCTCTTCAACAAGTCTTTCATACACCCTTGGCTTATACAAAGCCAGCTTCTTTTTATTTTTGAATTTCAAGGTATGACAAGCTCCTTAAAATAAAGGAAACTGATTCCACATTACCCTATTAATATGTAACTAAAAGTTGTCTCATGTCTATTTAAGGAATTTAATTTAAAAAAACATAACAATTATGAAGGTATACTTTAATCTTTATTAATGATATTTAGGATGTTTCATTTATATGAAAGACTAATTGTAAAAAGGCAAAAAATCTTCATTTGTTGCAACGGTATCTTATCTCATTTTTATTCTAGTATTTTTTCTAAATATTGTGATCTAGATTTTGTGTGAAAGCATAAACATCCTGACAGAGATTTAAAAATAAATCAGGCTAAAAAAGTCACAACAAAAACTTGACTGGTGTGTATCTGGACTAGAATGGTTCTCCTAGTTATGAGCCAACAAAATTTAAAAGTACCATAGAGTAAGAGCTGTTTGGTTTTCTTGCTCTTCTCCTGTAAAATCATTAAGAGACTGAAGACCTATCATCTTGACATGCATCACATGAGAAAGGAACAGCAACCATAACATGCTTTTTTGTCCAAGCTGAAACAAGAAGTGTTTTAAAGTCAAGCATCACCCTGTTCATCTGCTATGATACCTGAATATCTTCCTTGCTATTACATACTGGTTTTTAAGATATTAAAATTCATTTCTCAATCAGTCCCAATACTTGGCAAGTCTGAAAATAATTACTTAAAAACTAATTTTTTATTCAAGAGAGAGCTTAAAAAAAAGGCCTTTATTTGAGACAACTTTCCTTTTCAATAGCAAATATGCAATAGAATTGCTCCATTTTTATGGCCACAATCACCAAGATACACCGACTATCAGACTTCTCTAGAAACAGAACATATCCATGACCTCAGAAGATCTGTAAGAGGTGAAGGACATGCTTTACAAAGGTAGAGCCTTGCACACACAAGTACACAATCTGTGTGTTTAAAATGGAAATAAAGAAGACCTATCAAGGGATAAGTCTTAAAATAACTAGGAGGAATTTTCTAAGCAAATTCAGAACAGCCTTTGTTCATCAAATATAAAACTGAACATGTAGTTTCACATGAAAATATTCACAACCCTTCCCAAATAAGTTTTATTTTATCTTTATTTTAATTGGAAGTCTTAAAAATAGAATGTAATATTTTACTGCAGTTTCTTGCACAGTTCTAAAACAAACAGCCTGGGAACATAAATACTCACCACTGAGCTGTTCCATGAAGCATACATTGCCATTGGTGTTAAAAGCCAAAGTGTCAGGAGTGATGCAGAGTGTCTGGAAGATTGCAGAATGGGCAATGCTCTTCAAAGAATGGCAACACTCCAGGCAAATTGCCCAAATATCTTGCTCAGTAAGACAGCTATCCCGCAGTGACAAAATATCAGCAAGGGACACATTCTCCTGCCAAGATATGAATTAATAAATTACCCTGGATTTCATGACACTACTTTCTGCATCATAGATTATATTTGACACAATTGGCTACAAGTAATGTTTCCAGCAAGTTCTCAGACTTTCTAGGACACTGATTAACACCCCAAGAAACACCAAGTGCATGACTTTGCTCTATAACACAGAGATGTTTTAAGAAGCATAGTTAACCTGAACAAAGATATCGCAGTATTCCAACACATAAAAAAATACTATGGGAGATATGTAAGTTACATAAACACTACATCAAAGGAAACAGACTACTTGGAGGTAAAAGCAGAGAGACTAAATGAAAACATTTCATCTCATCCCTGCCTTTCAAGCTTTCCCAGGTGTCTTTATATAAACTACTTTAAAATTCTCTTCACAGCAATTCTCCCTACCATTTGTGAACTGGGAAAAAGTACCTTTTACATTGGCCTGTCTTAAAAATGATGCTGTTGTGAAGTTTAGTGGTGTAGACCATTTAATAAACTTTGAAAAGCCAAACATGCCATAGAAGAAGTGTTTTTATATTTGGACTTAAAACCAAACACTTGGGTTGTCCTAGGCCTTCCCATTATATCCAAAGCTTTTAGTGATCAAAACAGCTCATGGGCTTAAGTGTCTAAATTGCTGCCCTAAACTGTAGTCAACTCGTACTGACCCTATTACCACAGTAAGGCTCTGAGTCCATTCCCAAACAAATGTGTTTCTAATGTGGCTTTCCTGGTCAAGATGTTCCAAAACATTGCTTGGCTCAAAGCACCAGACTCTCTATGGATATTTTTGGAAAACAAACCCAATACATTACCCATAGCTACAGAAGTCTTCATGAACTTAAAGGAATGAGGAGAAAAAAACCCCAAACAAACAAAACATCAACTCCATCTATAAGGAAAAGTAAGGTAACAAAAATAGAAGGTAATCTACAGAAGTTACTTTGTATCAGAGCTATAACTACTACTAACTACACAGTGATATTAAATATATCCTTAATGGAAGGTGCAGATATACATTGCTTAGCAGAGAGAAGAAATAAATGATGTCATAATCAGCAAAAGAGGATGTGAACTACCTTACAGCTCCGAAAATTGCAGTAGTTTAAACTTTTAATCCCTTGGAGAACAGTTAAAAATGTCTTTACCTACTCCAGCACTGGAGAACATCAATAATATTTGGATTAGCACATACAGAAGGGGTTAACAGTTTATTAAACTGTCTTTCAGAGAATTAAGCATTGCTTTCATAATATCCTTCAAATAAGAAACAAACCTCAGTCCACAAGTGTATTGTGCTTTTTAGTCTAAAGTATAATGCTTAATAAATAAATATGAGGTAAGAAATAAAGCACACTCATTGCTGTTTGGCAAATGTAACTTTTCAATGGTCTTATTTTTTATAGACATGGCCTAGACGTGGATTGATTTACTAATGGCAGCATTATTTCAGTGCCTTCTAGCACTAATCATGGATCCTGGTCTCATCAAATTCAGTCCTATATAATAATGAGCAGCAAAAGATCTCAG